TGAGGGTATGAAGAAAAAAACCCAGCCTCTCTCTTTCTCATCTGAAACCACGGTCTCTGTAAACTGTCTCCATCTCTCTCTGTGCAAATCCATGGAACTGGAACACAAGATCAAGAGCTTGTGGGGGATCTCAATGATTTGGCAAGTAGCTCCAACCGAGCTCATGTAGAGGCTGGTCATTAAAATCACCAGAGCATTGAGGTGCTTGCTTGCTTGTAACTCTCAGTTACTGAGTCCCTTCCTTAACCCATCAACTCCATTATCCTCATCCTTCACAATCTGCAATATCTTCTAAACATAAGTTAGGGTTTCAGAGTCATCTTTACTAGTTAAAAAAATGAAAGGGCAATTAGGGCTTTCTTGTGATCTTGAAATGAATTAGAACCAGGGTCTAGAGTTTGTGGAGAATTTTATTGGTGATCAATGATTGGGATGGAGTTTGGTGCTAGCTCTATGGGGGCATGAATTCAGGTGATTCCATGTTCATGTTATGTCTTCTTTTCCCCATTTCTTGATACACACACTGATAAACCCTATTTCTTGATACACACCCACACGCACGCACTTGCTGTGTCTTCTTGTACCTGTTTTGGATACACACACATAGATATACCCTATTTCTTGACACACACATTGTGTGTGTGTGTGTGTGTGAGAGAGAGAGAGAGAGAGAGAGAGAGCAGGGCCGCTATTGACAAAACACTTACAAAGCACCCTAACAACTTTCTGAGACGAGAGATAAAACTTTAATTTTTCTCAATGCATATCCAGGGAACTTGCAAGTTTTTTGCGTAACGAGCTTTATTAATATGATATCCAAGCTTGCCCATGGTTGCTTGAAAATGTAACTTCATGCGTTGTCACTTTAGACATAATATTCTCTTCATTGTTTGACATTGGCTGTATTGCGTTTTTCTTTGAAATCTGCTGCTGACTAGCCAAGACCTATTATGAAGCATAACTTGGTGGGATTAGCGCAAAGATACCATCCCATTTGGTGCTTATCCTTCTAAGGGTTCGAACTTTTCCAATAACTTAAGATTAGATATCCACTTTTGTTTAATATAGAATTGTTTCTGGATTATGTGCACCTGTTGTCTTCTTGGATATCCTTTGCAATGTGAAATTTGTTGGCATGAGATATTAGGTATCCAGTGGCTTATACATACTTCGCAAAAGCTACGTCTGAGTGATCGTGCCCTATGAAATTATTGTTAAGCATGGTACAACATGCTCTTGCTGGAGCATAATGTACATTAACTCCCTTCGGCAGAAGAGCTACTTGAGAGGATTTTTTTGATCTGAAATTTTTATGTTCCACCTAAGAATCTGCAAATGATTATTTATTAAAAAATGGATTTTGAGTTCTTCAACACTATCTTTCCCTCCCAAAATTGGACAAATCCTATTCAATTTTGGGTCATTATTTTTTCAAGCACAGAGACTCTGCAAGTTGAACTTTTCTTTTTTGATATTGGTCACTGGGTTCAAAAGATTTCCTCTCCCCATAGTATGGGGTCCAAAAAATACTCTTAGCTTTATCAAAGGTAACAAATGGACAGCAAGCTCCTATGGGAGCAGCATGTCTTTTCACATTATTGTTTGCACATTTCATCATTCTGATAAGGCACGTGATTCTTATGGGAAACTTTTTCTGACATTGTTATGATCTTGTATGCATTCAGTGTTAGGAACAATTCTTGAAGATGCACCACACTTGTCAACTTGATTCCAACACTCCTATTTTTGCGTGGATCATATACCAGTCTTAGGGAGCATCACCATGTTTTGCTGTTTTGCCATGTTTTTATACACAAAATGAACTTGGAACGTGTGTGGTTCAGTCTTCTACCAAATGTCTTGAGATTCCCCATTCACATATACATTCTTTGAATCAATGACTAACAAATCCCTCGCCTTAGAGAAATCTTATGTTGTAACCAGTTAGGCTACTACTCTTGGAGACAAGCAGCATTGGCAATGGTATATCTCCTTTTAGACTACTGTTATAATTTACGTTGGAAACAAATGTGGCACATACTTCTATTTTCTATATGCATGCCTTCATTGTATATTTGTGAGGAATGAAGTAGTAATACTTCAGATTTTAATCCGCTTTTTGATAATATATATGAACACATCAGAGAGATCTTAGTGCTGGTTCCAAGAGGCAATAATATGAGGGAAAGTAGACTCAAGTGGTTTGGCCATGTGCAAAGTTACTCTAGAACCACACCCGGTTAGGAGAGGCAATTTGGTTCAAGTGGAAGGCTTTAAAAGGATAAAGGAAGGGCCCAAAAGGACATGGATGGAAGTAGTGCGAAGGGAGGTGACCTATGGCCTGTCTGACGGTATGGCCCTTGATAAAGCGGAATGGCAGAAGAGGATTTGTGTAGACGACCCAAGATATTTGGGATAAGGCGCAAATGATGACGATGATGATGACTATTTATTTTAAGTGTCCCATTATTTAATGTGACTTAAAATACATTTTATTAGTGTATTCACATGTTAGTATGCTAAGTACTTAATATGATCTACGAGATTCCTTCACAATATAGTTAATGTTTAATATAGAAGTCACCATATTAGTAATATCATAGTCCAAGTGAGTATAAGTTTGATGATGTTGTGGAAGTTACCCATTTAATGTGCAAGTCTTCCACTCTCTTTATGTAACTGGGGAGGATTGGAATTTGGAAGTCACAAATTCGTTGTTTGGTTTTCTATTGCATTTTGGTATTGGTTGTTTTTGAGCTGGAACAATGCTCTGATGAGGTCGTCATATGGCTTTCGTTGCACATCAGAGATGTGGATGTCTTGGACCAGGTGGTTTTCAACATCTTTCTTCAATGAGTGTTGGGATGTAATTTATGGATATGATCTAGGATTTCCATGACAGATGTCCAAATTAAGACAAACTATGAAGCTACCTTCATTGTTTTGATTCGTAAGGTGGGAGGGGCTTAGAGCTTTGGATTATATAGACCGAATGGATGCCAGGTACGAACTAATTGTTGAACTCCTTTAAAGGAACCTTTTTACAAGGGCGGACTTTGGATCCATAATTTCCGTCCACAAGGCGGTCCCAAGCCGGTCATACCGGTCCCAAGCCTAGATAAAGAAGGAAGGTTGTGATAGGGTAGGGTGGCCAATATAAAACTTTGCCTCATCTTTTCATGAATCCTGAATCTATGCTATATATTCATGCTAGGGCATTCTTTGTAACGTGTTGTATTGGAACCTGGGTGCAATGAGAAATGAGCAAAGTGGTAGAACAAGATTCATGTTGCCGACCCCATAATTAGGTGGTTTAAGATTATGTCCACCCAACATGTGGGTCTAAGGAAATTTCTTTGTTTGGTATTGATGTTTGGGATTCATTAGTGGAAATTCATGCTGCTAAATTGGGTTCAATGCCATCTATTTACATGATTTCCTTGAATTTGGTTGCCATAGACTGATATAACTACTTTCTGTACCCTAATTATAGGGATAGGCTACATTTAGAACTTTGACTATACTCAAATGTATAGTGTACATCAGCCTTAGTGTACAGAAGCAACTAACGTCCTTGTCTAGGATTTGCATTATCAGAAAATTTGAATTTTAATGCATGTTACATGAGAAGCTGCTTTGTGGTGGTCCAAATACCTTTTAGTTGAAGCTACAATTTTTACAAAATTGTCGACAGTGGAAAATAGAATGTTCTGCAAATGTCAATCAGGCGATGCCATGGTCAGTTGCCTCGAATCCTTGATGAGCTAAAGATGAATAAAAGTCATGAATTTAAGGTATGTTTCATATGCAAAGTTTAATTGCAACCTCTAGCTTAACTATCTGTAATGATGGAATAAAAGTTATGAGTGATTGGTGTAAAGGCAAGTGAACACTTAGCATGTTTGAGGCTCCCTGAGGCCTCAAAAGGCGGGCTTCATGTGTGACTTTTGAGGTTAAAATGTATCTGCCTTATAGACTGCTAGCTTTTTGGGGCTGTCAATGGGCCCTTGTCGGTCCTTGGGCTTTTGGGCTGGGCCTGGTTTCATGCTGGAGGCTAAATCCCTTGGGTTGGGCCTGGTCGGCCCAAATATTTTCTGGACGGATTTTTTCGAGTAAATCTGTTACATGTAATTAAATATTTTTATAGGGCCCAGCCGGTCCATTTTTTTGAGCTTGGGTCTCATTACCATGAATTCGGGCTGGGCCTTGGCCTACACTACTTCGGACCTGGCCTGGCCTGGTCTGAACCTGGCCATGAACAGCTTACAGCCTACTTATGGCACATCAGTTGGTTTTATTTATTTATTAGGTACAATTTATTCTTTAGTGGAAAGATCTGTGCAGTATTTATATGTGGAGATCAAGTTCTTGGAATGGGGAATCTAGTAGTTGGCTCTTCTCTGTTCACACTCCCCTTTGCTTAGGAGCCAAAAATCTCATTTGAGTCTTAATGTTACGAACAAAAATGAATATTGAGTCACTGTTCACACTCCCCCTCTTCTAGTTGTTTATTCTTGTCCGTTGCTACAATTTAGGGCCTATTTGGCACAGTTCCTCATCTTATGCACATTTATTGAAGTGAAACATTTACCTAATGAACCGCCTCTGGTTTGTTGGCATTTGATTACCACTCTTCCTTGTTCCTAGGTGGTGCACACCAGAGGATTTCTCTATCTATACATATACACTGCTCATTGACCGAAGTTCTGTTATGCCCAATTGCTGAAACCAAAACCAGGTGTCTGTTTAAAGTAAGAGAAAAAACATGGTGCATATTGGGTTTGTAATCACAAACTATGGCAGCATCTCTTTGCATGTTCTGCCAATTGATGCATTGAATTATTGAATTGTTTTTATTTTTATTTTTTGCAAGTAAAAATCAGAATCTTGTATCTAAAAGCTCTGCTTTGAATGGAATGTATGCTTTATTTTTTTGGTTGATTGGCTTTTGCTACTTGTAATCCTAAATTCCTAATGGTTTGCACGCTTTCTTGCACCAGCCAGATCTGAGAATCTCTCATGGCAGGCAGAAAATTTCCTTTTGCCTGATTAAGGAAGTGAATGGGAGATGGACGAAGGTCAGAGAGAAAATGGGCGACACAAACCAGATCAATACAAGGCCATGCTTGGCCACAGCCAGGTATTAATAAATAAACTGAAAGTAACATCTTTTATTCTTTCTTGTATTAAACCTCCACCGCTCGTAAAATACAACGATCACCACTCTTTCCATTCTCCGTTATTCCACAGAAACCCATTCTCTTCAGCCTCAAGTTCCAGCCAGCGACTGAGAACTCCAAAACCCTACATAAAGATCCATTAGCTCAACTATAGATTTGAAGGAGAGAGAGACACACAAAAAGCACATTTGACCCCACCCAAAGAACAAAAACCAAAGAAAAAACGAACTCGAATTCTTTAGCAAAAGAAAGGAAGAGGCAATTGCTCATTCAAAAAAACTGGATCTTTTGGCTCAGTGGAACGCTCCCCAACAGTCCATGAAGGACCACCCGGCCTTTAAGCTGATGGCCCTGATGGCGGAGCGTGACGCCGCCATCCAGGAGCGCAATGCGGCCCTATCTGACAAGCGGGCGGCCCTCGCCGAGCGTGACCTTGCCATCAGCCAGCGTGATGCCGCCTATGCCGAGCGCAACACCGCCCTCCAAGAGCGTGATGCCGCCATCGCTGCCCTGGAATATGCTCGCGATTATGGTATGGGCACGGGCCAGCCGCAAGGCCCCCCTGGAGCCATGCCTCGAGCCCCTAGGGCCCATGTCGACCCCAACTCTTCGTACCCACCTCGTGATAATTCCCAACCTAACCACCACAATGTCACCGAAGCCTACCCAATATCTTCCTCTGAGCCTGCTCTAAATGTGAAGCCTAAGCGAGCAAAGAGACCGAGAAAAGAGGGTGCAAACAAGGCCCCCCACCAGGCTAAAAAGGCAGGTGGACCGAGGCAGCGTAGGTCGAAGAAGCAAGGGGGGTCGATGACTTGAACAAGCAACTGTCAGTGGCGAAGCAAGAGTGGAAGAGTCAGGATTTGGGGTTGAATCAGGTGACGTTTGATGACTCAACAATGCCTATTCCAGTGTGTTCGTGCACTGGGGTTTTGCAACAGTGCTATAAGTGGGGTAATGGAGGGTGGCAGTCCGCTTGTTGCACTACTCAGATTTCGATGTACCCATTACCTGTGATGCCTAACAAGAGGCATGCCCGTGTTGGGGGGAGGAAGATGAGTGGAAGCGCGTTTACCAAGTTGCTGAGCAGGCTTGCAGCTGAGGGCCATGACCTATCGGTGCCTCTTGATCTCAAGGACCATTGGGCAAAGCATGGGACCAATCGCTATATCACCATCAAGTGAGCTCAGGTGAGTGTGTTTCATTCGCCTGTGCGATGTTTGTGTAGGAGAAAGGGTAAAACATAACCTCTTTTTTCTCTCCTGTTTAGCCTTTTGTAATTTTACGTGGTCTTGCTCTCTCTTAGTGTCTTTTTATTTTTCTTTAAATCGTTGAAGCATTTAAATGGTCAACATGCATTGTAGGAGGGCTGCATGTGGGAATGATTGGCCAGTGTTTGCAGCCCTCATAGAGAGAAAGGGATGTAGGGTTTCCAATAGACTTTGGTTAAGAGGGCTCCAAATGAATTCTAGTAGCAGTGTATGTTGTCTTCTTTCGAGCCTTTCGGGGCACACCAGTCTTGATTGTCTTGTTTTTACCTTGTGTTGTATCATCTCTTGGTGGAGGCTTGAGGGTGGGCAGTGGGCATAAGTAGGCAAGGATCAGATTTGATGGATGGGTATTGTTCAACATTGGATGCAAATATGTTAGAGAGAGAGACAGGAGGAGAGAGAGAGAGGGGGGGGAGGAATTGAAAAACTACATCCACCAGCATGTCTGTGTGAGAGAGACTGTGACTGAATGAGATATGCCATGTATATCCATGTTTATTAATGATAAGTGCGATGCTGTTTTGGAAGTCATGGCTTCCTCTAGCTTCCAGTAAATTGACTTTAAATGGGAAGCAACAGTTTTTATCCTACCCCATAGAGCAGCTTCCGCTTCCTCCATCAACCAAGTATACACTTATTGTTGGTGGTGGAGGTGGCGAAATCTGAATCTCATTCTTAGAAATCATGTGCCAAGATAAATACCAAAAAACTTGAGATGTTTTGGAAAGCTAAGGGTGAGGTTTGTATAATGCGTATCCCTAAATTTTATTTGGATATAATAGTTTTCGAGTTGGAAACTTTTATGAAGTTGGAAAATCAATTTCAGTTTTTAATTATAAATTTTAAAATTTTTAAAATATTACAGGTCGAGCATATCTATAGACATTAAGAAATCTTGAAAATAAGCTGTCTAAATAATTTATTACAGGATGTGTTATTTTTGGGCTATGTATTTTTATTTTTATTTTGTCATATCCATGCAATTAAATTGGAGGGTTTTTGAATCATAACAATCTCTTGTAGAGGAATTGGTTTTTTTTTTTTGGGTGTACTTCAATTATAAGGTTGACACCTCATACACTTTTTCCTTCAAGAAGTTGAGTTAACTTACGGTAGAAGCTAGGATAATTTATATGATCATTGAAAAGATATGGTCACGAGTGTCTTTCACCATCAAGGGATGGAAGGTAATTGAGACTTTGAACCATCGTGTTTTTTCCACGTGGTTTCCACCTGATCTCCAGCCTTGTTCACTTACAGGTTGGATGGTGATGACACTCGTGACAAGAGATTCTCTACGGTCATTTGGATGATAGTATAGGATGCAATTTTATAAAGCCTTTTCCAAAGTAAAGCCTCGCCTCGGATCGTTGTCCAAAAAGTACTTTGGGAATTGAAAGTCTTCATGATGGTGCTAAAATTGATTTCCAACACCTATAATAAAATTGAAGCTAAAAAAATGGTAATATGTGAATACCAATGTTCGATTTGTTTCGGAGCTTGTTTCGGTTTGGTCTAAGCAATTTGTTATTTCGGTTGATTTGGAAGAAAGACTTTGGTTTTTTTTTTTTAAAATTAAAATAAATAGAATTATATTTTTAATTTTTTTAAAAAATAATAAATAATAATAATAATAAATAAATTTTTTTACTACATTTAATAACTATAGTTAATAATAAATAAAATAGTTAAACTAGTATTTTAATACTTTTAATTTTAATTTTATTTTTAATGCCTTGGAGTTAGCAGCATAGTAGTGAAAATTACTTCAATAATTCTTTTACATTTAAAACATTTCAATACTTTTCTACCCATGTCAAAGTCGGTAGGGTTGTATTACCTTTTTTTGGAGTTGTCTTTATATGTGTAAAGTAGGTAAGGTGGTGTTTTGGTTTTGTAGTGCTTTTTATACGTGGCATTCATAGTTTTCAGTTTTACACATTAGCAAAGTCTTAAAAGCAACCCCTAATAAATTCGGGGAAAGGTTGCGTAGAAGATCTATGCTTTCTTTACCATCTAGCCGTCCAATTTTGATCAATAGAGCTACTCACCGTTTGATCATAGATCTGACGTTTAAAATTATTTTATTTTTAGTTTTTTTTGTACAAATTGTATGAATATGAAATTTGGTATGTGCCATCTTTTCATTGAGGCGCACTTATAAAAAAATATTAAAAAATAATTTTTCTATAAAATATAATGAGTAAATTATCCCTTGAAGCTTTTAAGGTTATTTTGGTTATTTTGTTTTATTGAAAATATAGTTTTTATATTTTTTGTTAGTGCGAGCTTGATAGAGGATTGAACATCCAAAATTTGGTATCAAAATAGTACATAGAAAAAAAAAAAAAGTTGTATAAAGATGTGACATTGTGATTGGGGCAATTTTAGCCTTTCATTCAGAATGGACGGTTGGATGAGGAGAAGTATATAAGTTTTATGTTGTAAAGGAAGCATATAAAGCTTGCCCATAAATTAGAACACTCATAGCTATTCGGTTCGCTATGCTAGAGAGGCAAAACTCGAAGACTTCGGGTGTTTAGCCCGAAGCCAAGTGAAAATAACAACATTGATGAATACTTTTATTTTTAGGGTGAAATAGACGGTTTAAATAATATGTTACACTATATACTATTTTTAGGGGTTGAAATCTTAAATTTTTTCACAACTATAATGATCAAAGCCGAGATGATCGATTTGAAGATTTCCCGACGCTAGAACTGTCATTTTCAGTGAGTTTTGGGGTGAGGCTTTACTTATCTTCATAGGCTGCAACCCTATCAAAACATTTTTTCTGATAGTGTATATTGTGCACATGTTTTGCCTCAAATCATGTATACCCAACTTTGGAAGAAGGGTAACCCTCTTGTCAATTTTTGTTTAGCCTCAATAACTTTGGAATCAATATACAACAAAATATACAGAGGTTATAATCACCTTGGCCGTTGAATATGAAATCGGGTGGAGTCAAAATGAAATGTTTTTATATTTATTATACTCTAATCAAATTTTAAATGGTTTGAAGTGATTGTGAGTTATTTGTATGCAGACATAATAAAGGTATTAGGAGGTACTTTTTGTGGTATGCGATATGCATCCAAGCCATTTTTGACATGTTCTCGATGGATCGTATTTCCAGGGTGAAATATGGTGAATCTCCTAGTTAGAAAGAATGGGTTTGTCTCCATCATGAGAACGGACGGTGGATGCTTTATTATGGATGGTAAACCACATGCTACGCAGGGTTTGTATGGTAGATGCACTTGGTACACGAAAACTTCTATTTGCATGTGAGCGTTAAACCCTTCGTATTCTCTTCGCCACGGGCGAAGCGAAGCTTGTTGCTGTCGCTTCGGTCAACTTTGGCTGAAGTTTTGGTCTTTTAGGCTCAAGCAAAAAATTATATGTATAAATATATTTTTACTATATATATATATATATTGATTGTGAAAAACTCAAGATATTGCGAGAACTTTTTGTATACTCAATGATAATTAAGAATGTACAAGACGTGTATAAATATACGGCTAATAACAGTTTTGGATAGATACCAACCGTTATTGATAATTACTAACTAGATACCTATACCCATACATATCCATAATGTTGTGTATTTGTTTTTTGATAAATGTTACTACTTTTATTGAATATTAAGGAGATGTGATTACATCAGTAGAAATAACAAGAGAAGGCAAATGAGCGCCACCCTTTGCCAGCATATCCGCCACAGAATTGGCTTCACGATAAACATGAGAAAAGTGACTGTGGAGGAAGCCAAGTCCATGACCCGTAACCATAACGCCGAAATTCCCATGGAACATGTTGTTCCTTATTGCACCACCTAATCACATTGAGCGAATCCCCTTCTATTCAGCAGTTATTGCCACAATTTCTTTCAATAAACATCTTCAAATCATGGAATAGCGCACTTAGCTCCGCAAAATTTGCGGTTACACAACCTATCAGCCCAACATACGAAAAAATGATGTTACCAAAGCAATCACACAAGACTCCACCAATACCTGTTGTCCCATAATTACCGAAAAAGCTACCATCAAAATTGAGTTTCAGACTACCCACAAGAGGCTCAGTCCAAACACATTTTGGTCTATTATTAACAGAACCTAGAAGGAAAAGGTTGTGTAAATTTACCAAGACATCAACCTTTGAGATACCCCACCCTTTTTTTAACACAGAGAGCCATGACCAAATAGAAAGTTTAATAGAATGGATCAGTCTGTCTAGAGACAGAGAGACCACTTCGAAAGTCATTCTATTCCTTTCTTTCCAAACTTCTCAGAGAATGACTCCTTTAGCTAACCTCCAAATAATCTTACCTACCTTGTAAGGAAAATTGAGAGAAAATACCCTCCACTGATTGGGTAAGAACCAAATTTATCTCTAAAATACCAAACAACCAATACCAAATTTGCACCGTGAAAGGGCAATATGAAGAGATGCGCACCATATTTACTATCAGATTTACACAATAGGCATACATTTGGTAAAATCTTTCCCCTTTTTATGAGGTTATCGATAGTGAAAACATTGCTCATAATCATCAACCAAATAAAGACTTGAACTTTGTGAGGTATCGGCCATTTCCAAACTTGGGTAGTACGAAGGCAAGACTATCTGCATCGATCGTAAAACAGAATATTATAACATGACATAACAGTGAAAACTCCGTCACTCTCAATCTCCCATACCATTTCATCCTCCGCATTTGGCGAAACATAAATTTTATCTAGCCGTTCCATAAGCGCACACCATTTAAAAAGTAAGGCATTATTGAGTTCACTGTATGCCAAGAAAATATTCCAGGATATAGTATCACCACTCCTTTCAACCGCCTCGTAGACTTTAATCTTGGGCATCGTAACAATCCCAAACAGGTATGGGAAAACTGACTTAAGAGGGTACTCCCCCACCCACTTATGATGCTAAAAGGAAATTTGATTGTCGCATCCAACATTCCATCTGAAGTATCTTGAAATCATTGGCTTACAATTGGGAATAGTCTTCCACAGCTGCAAAATATCCTTGCCCCTACATCCCCCAAGCCAAATCCCAAATCTATCCACACCGTACTAAGATAGTAGGACTTGGTACCAAAGATGATATTTTAGGTGAAGAGAATGCCACCACCATTTGCACAATAGAGCTTGATTCACATGTCTAATCCAGTCTACTTTCTTTCTTTGGGGTGCAAACTCTTTTCCATCTAAAAAGATCAAATTTCTGTAAAACGTGTTTGAGCCCCAAAGAAAATTGCACATCATTTTTTCAATCTTTTTCGCAACAGAGGCTAGCATATTAATTAAAAAATCTGATAGACACTTTATTTATATTTATTATTTTTAAAAAAGTTTGAAGTCTTATCCGAATCAATTAAAGCATCAAATTGCTCTGTTTTGCTCACGAAACGGAAGAAGAATTCCAAGCAAATCTGACAACATTGATTAAACCACCTCGTTGTCCTTCAAAAGACTTCGCACAATCAAAATGTCCAATGCCTGAAGAGTCC